CTATAGATTAACTAATGCTACAGGTCTCATATACTTCAAAATTGAAAAGATTTCGTCTTTGAATTAGATGTATACATAATTTTGCAAAAATTACAATTTGAACATTTAAGAACCAGAAAAAAATATAAATTTCTAATTCATTAATTAAATAAGGAGTCAGAATGCAATTTTAAGTGCTAAAAGTCCATTATAACTCACATTCATATTTTTCCAACAAAACAAAACTTCATCTAATTATTGTTTGTTTTTATGTAGGTGGTTTACCTATACAATTGATATCATACTTCTCTTCTACCCTTTTATAATTAGAAACAGAATTAGATTATAAGCCAACTCAATGAATTCTTGAATTTGCCAGTAAAGAAAGTGGGGATGGCCATATCATTAGCTTAAGCAAAATCCAATTACCTTTTTTAAAACAATAAATAAATTTAATCATAAAAATAACAAGCACGGTGTAGCAATACTTTAAAATAACAGAGAATAAGTTTAAATGAAAGAATTCTGATATAATATCATGTTTGAGTATTTAAATTTTAATTTATTAACATATAAAATTAAAAAAATTGAGATAAATTTTAAATACATTATTATGGAAATTCAATATTTATTAGCTTCAATATTTTTAGTTGTGGGTATCCTAATATACTCATTGAAGTCAAAGTTTGAAAAGTCAAGATAAAACTAAAAACCTTAAGAAGTTAAAACAGACCCAGGAAAGAAGATAAATTGTTAAGAACAATTAATTCCAATCTCTATATATTTTGGAACACAATAAGGCACTGCAGCTCGATTTGCCAAATAATTATCTGAAGAAGGAAAAGAACATGGATTTTTGACAACAGAAGTAGATCTTAATGAAGTTGAATTTGATAAAGAGATGACAAAGGGAAAATTTGGAATTTTTTGCATGGCTACTCATGGGGAGGGTGACCCTACAGATAATGCAAAAAAATTTATAAGTTGGTTATAAGAGCCTTAACTATCTTTAAAAGATTTTAATTTTACTGTTTTTGGACTTGGTAATAGGCAATATGAACATTATAATAAAATTGGAAAACTTACAAACAATCTTCTTGAAAAGTAAAATGCTATTCGATGTTACAAGTATGGGGAAGGAGATGCCAATAGTACATTAGAAGATGACTTCATAGATTGGAAAAAAGACTTATGGAATGTTTTAAAGGAGCTGATTCATCCAACACCCTAAGGTAAAAAAAAATAATTCAAATATAGGTTCAACATTTAAACTTGTAAAAAGTAATAAAGAAGAAATCAATTTTGATTAAACTCTTTAAGGATAATTTGATTTTTAAACTAAATAGTTTTTAAAAGCAAAATGTAAATTATTTTATTAATTTAAGATTGTCAAGTTGTATCAATAACTTAATTAAGATAAAATCAATAAGATGGTTCAACACTACAAATAATTTTTGATACAGGTAGAGAAGGAATAGAATATAAAACAGCTATGAATTTAGGAGTTTATCCTGAAAATAATGATGAATAAATTCTGGAAATTGCTAATTATTTAGGTGAAAATCTGAACACAATCTATACTTTGGAATAATTAGAGGAGACTAATAAAGCAAAAATGCCATTTCCTTCTCCTTTAAGTGTTAAAAAGATTTTGAAGCACTTTTTAGATTTTAATGGATAATTAATGAAAAATACATTAACAAAGTTGGCTAAGATTTCAAGTGAAGATGAAAAAGTAAGGAACTATTTACTTCATTTAACAACAGAAGAGGGAAAAAAAGAATTTTAGTAAATGGTTGATGAGTAAAAAACAACAATTTTTCAATTAATTTAAAGAAACAATATCAAATTAAATTTAGCATAATTTATTGAATTATGTCCAAGAATTAGCCCCAGATTATTTACTATTGCATCATCAAATATAAAAAGCCCTCAACAAGTAGAAATTGCTGATAGTTTATTAATTGATGATCTATCAGATGGTACTTAAAAAATAGGTTTATGTTCTTAATATTTCTTAAACATACAATAAAGACTCTTGCAAGGGGTAATATTTATAGCTATGTGTTATGTTAGGAAAGTGTGAAAGTTAGAGTTGATTTTAGAGAATCAAGCTTTAAATTACCAGATGATCCAAATAAATCCATAATTATGATTGGACCAGGGACTGGAATAGCTCCTTTTATTGGATTTTTATAAGAGAGAGAAATCTTTTTATAAAACCAAGCTCAAAAATAAAATGAATACATTCTGTATTTTGGATGTAAACATGAAAACGGAGATTTCATTTATAAAGATTAACTTAGAGAATTTTAAAGAAGAAAAATTATTGATAAATTTTATACAGCATTCTCAAGAGATTAAGAAAAGAAGATTTATGTATAAGATTTGCTTAAGCATAATTCTGAAGAACTATTTAATCAAATAATAAATGATAAGGTAGTCATTTATATATGTGGGTAAGTTTTATAATTATTTTAGATCAACAAACATGGGAAATTCAGTTTAACACCTGATTAAAGAGATATTAATAAAATATAGCAATTGGTCAGAGCATGAAGCTGAAGAAAGAATATAAAATATGTAGAAATAAAAATTTTTAATCAAAGAATTATGGTGATTTACATGAGTTATAAATAAACAAGTTATTATTATTTTTTAAATCTAAATGAAAAAAAAGTAACTTGAAAGAGATGAACAGGGCAATTTAATTATGAATGAGTAAAATATTATAGAGATTTGCGAAAAAGAAGGATTATATGAGTATCCAGAACTGAATTCAAAATTATATTTACATTTTAAGGGTAATTAAGAGTAATTAATTTTAAGCATTCAGAAAAATTGGAGGTTTGGACAACTTCATAAATGTTAAGACTTTGTGGTTAGAAAATAACTTTATTACAAGAATAGAGGGATTAGAAAATCTTTAATAACTAACACATTTATTTTTACAAAATAATCTAATTTAAAAAATTGAAGGATTACGAGAAAATTTAGAATTGATTACATTGAATCTATCTAATAATTGTATTAAAGTGGTTGAAAATTTGTAGAGGCTCTAAAAGCTTTCTAGTTTGGATTTATCAACAAACAAATTGAAATCAGTTTCTGATATATGGGAATTAGAATTAAATTAATCAGTATCTAATTTAGATTTATCCAATAATATGCTTGAATTTGAAGGAGAACACGAAGATGATCCATTATTGTTAATATTTAAAAAAATGCCAAAATTAAAATGTCTTTATTTATAGAGAAATAATTACATACGATCAATTCAAAATTATAGAAAAGTATTTAGAGCTATCTAATTTAGTATTATCTTGCCAATTTACCAGAATTAACATATTTAGATACATAACCTGTATTTCCTAATGAACGTAGAATAGTGGATGCATGGGGAAAATTGGGTAAAGAAGGAGAATAAATAGAAAGATAAAGTATATAATAATATTAATTATATAGAAATTAAAGATGAAGAAGATACTAAGAAGTAAGAATATCGCGAAGAGATAAAAAAATAATTACCTATTTATTTATAAAGCAAAATTAACTTTTTCCAAAAAAATATCAACGCTATAGAAACTGAAATATAAGAGATGTAAGCTAGAAAATAAAATCATATTGAACAAAATAGTCAAGAAATTGAAATTACTTTTTTAGATGCTTCTATTAATTAGAAATAATCTCAACTTAATGAAATGAATGAATTACTTGATAATATGAAAGTAAGATAAATACGATAAAATTCTATGACAGAATCACAATTAATTGAATAAAGAGGAGATTAATAGGAAAAAATTCAAATTTAACTAGATGAAATAGATTGAAATGTCTTTTTATAAGAAAGATTTAATTATTCATTCATATATTTTTTAATATTTTTTTGCAAAATCTTTCATTTTTGAATCCTATTTACGTAACAATATTAATCTATAAAGAGCAGAACAAATTTTTTTATTATCTTATCGCAAATGATATTATTCAAATGTTGCAATTAAATCCTTATTTTACATACTAAACCATATAGATATATCTTTTATTTCAGCTAATTATTGTTTAATCCTCATTTGTAAGACATTACTAGATATTTATTTTTCTAAAAAACTTTATAATGTCTGAAATTCTAAAGTAAGTAGTTCAAAATATAAATCTTAACTTATGTTTTATAGTTTGTTAATATCAAAAATAGAATAAAATAATCCTAGTTTTATAATTATTTAAGTACCTTCAAAAAATGAAGCAATAAAAGAATCATAAAATATAGAATGGTAATTAACTGGTAGCTTCTAATTGAATATTAAAAAAAAATCTTTTATTTCATCCAATTATTGAAGCATAGACCATTCTGACTTTTACTAATAACTTTTTGCATCAGTCATTGATTTTAAATCTTAATGAAGAGGGGTAAATAAATTAGGAGATATAATTTCATTTATAAGAATTTTTGAAATACTTTTGCAAATTACTTTACCTTTAGTATTGAAATCACTTGTAAGATGATCTAAAGCTTCAAGTTTTAATTAATCCTTTAGATGCTAAAATTATTATTACAGAAAATTAAGATTACAAATTCTCATCATCATTTCTATAACAAGATGAATTTATTATTAGGCTAATTATTTTTAATCAAGAGGTATGCTTTATTTATTTTTAATAACTGCAGGAAACCAATAGGATATTAATTTTGTTTTTTGTTCAAGATTTTATTCCATCTATTCCAAATACATTAATATAGCAGTATAGAGTATATGTTCCATTTTGCTATTAATTGTTTTTTTGAAGAGATTATCATTCTTAAACTTAACCACTTATTGTAAAGCTTCTAAAGATTTAAATAAAATAGAGCAAAAGTCTTCTATACTCTTAGTTTATGTTTATTGCATCAATTCTTTAAACTACAAACTTTCATCTAGAAATTTTTCNTGAAATTAATCAGTATCTAATTTAGACTTATCCAATAATATGCTTGAATTTGAAGGAGAACGATGATCCACTATTGTTAAAATTTAAAAAATGCCAAAATTAAAATGTCTTTATTTATAGAGAAATAATTATATACGATCAATTTAAATTTATAGAAAAGTATTTATAGCTAGCTTATTTTAGTATTATCTTGCCAATTTACCAGAATTAACATATTTAGAAACTTAACCTGTATTTCCTAATGAACTTAGAATAGTGGATGCATGGGGAAAATTGGGTAAAGAAGGAGAATAAATAGAAAGATAAAGTATATAATAATATGAATTATATAGAAATAAAAGATGAAGAAGATACTAAGAAGTAAGAATACCGCGAAGAGATAAAAAAATAATTACCTATTTATTTGTAAAGCAAAATTAAATTTTTCCAAAAAAATATCAACGCTATAGAAACTGAAATATAAGAGATGTAAGCTAGAAAATAAAATCATATTGTACAAAATAGTCAAGAAATTGAAATTACTTTTTTAGATGATTCTACTAATTAGAAATAATCTCAACTTAATGAAATGAATGAATTACTTGATAATATGAAAGTAAGATAAATACGATAAAATTCTATGACAGAATCACAATTAATTGAATAAAGAGGAGATTAATAGGAAAAAATTCAAATTAAACTAGATGAAATAGATTGAAATGGTTTTTTATAAGAAAGATTTAATTATTCATTCATATATTTTTTAATATTTTTTTGCAAAATCTTTCATTTTTGAATCCTATTTACGTAACAATATTAATCTATAAAGAGCAGAACAAATTTTTTTATTATCTTATCGCAAATGATATTATTCAAATGTTGCAATTAAATCCTTATTTTACATACTAAACCATATAGATATATCTTTTATTTCAGCTAATTATTGTTTAATCCTCATTTGTAAGACATTACTAGATATTTATTTTTCTAAAAAACTTTATAATGTCTGAAATTCTAAAGTAAGTAGTTCAAAATATAAATCTTAACTTATGTTTTATAGTTTGTTAATATCAAAAATAGAATAAAATAATCCTAGTTTTATAATTATTTAAGTACCTTCAAAAAATGAAGCAATAAAAGAATCATAAAATATAGAATGGTAATTAACTGGTAGCTTCTAATTGAATATTAAAAAAAAATCTTTTATTTCATCCAATTATTGAAGCATAGACCATTCTGACTTTTACTAATAACTTTTTGCATCAGTCATTGATTTTAAATCTTAATGAAGAGGGGTAAATAAATTAGGAGATATAATTTCATTTATAAGAATTTTTGAAATACTTTTGCAAATTACTTTACCTTTAGTATTGAAATCACTTGTAAGATGATCTAAAGCTTCAAGTTTTAATTAATCCTTTAGATGCTAAAATTATTATTACAGAAAATTAAGATTACAAATTCTCATCATCATTTCTATAACAAGATGAATTTATTATTAGGCTAATTATTTTTAATCAAGAGGTATGCTTTATTTATTTTTAATAACTGCAGGAAACCAATAGGATATTAATTTTGTTTTTTGTTCAAGATTTTATTCCATCTATTCCAAATACATTAATATAGCAGTATAGAGTATATGTTCCATTTTGCTATTAATTGTTTTTTTGAAGAGATTATCATTCTTAAACTTAACCACTTATTGTAAAGCTTCTAAAGATTTAAATAAAATAGAGCAAAAGTCTTCTATACTCTTAGTTTATGTTTATTGCATCAATTCTTTAAACTACAAACTTTCATCTAGAAATTTTTCTTTAGTAATTAATGATTATAAAATTTTTAATGTATTTTGTTGAGATTATTGGAACCACATTTCTATTGATCGACCAATAATTTAGAGTGCTTTAGCATTTAAATTATTAGGTAAGAGTTGATCATCAATTAAAGCCAAAGTGAAACATATGGAAAAAGCACTTAATATAATCATAATAATACTTTCCATTTTTATCTTCTGGAATTAATCCTTTTTAAATACAGAGCTCAACCTATTAAAGTATTAAATATATTTCTGATAATGCACCCATCATAAAATGAAGGAAAAACAAATTCTAATTATTTTGATTATCAGGTAATAAATGTTATATACCTTTCTAAAAATAATCTATATATTGTTCTTTTAATTCAAGACATTCTTTACACATTACAGTTAAAAGAACAGAAACTTAATTAAATGTTTTTTCTGATATTTGATTCTATTAAAATTGTTCTCTTTTAATAATCATACTATAATAATGATGACCTGTTTGTTCCATAATTTTGAGCATTAATTCATTTGTATTTTAGCATTCTGTAAACTCAAGTGAAATACTTGCAACTATGTAAAATAAATTCATGAAGGCAATTAGGAAAGACTAATCACTTGGTAATTAAGACCAAAAACTAGTAGTAAGTCCTAATAAATCTTTATATAATCTATCTGAATTCTTCTATTTTAGTGCAAACTACAATTATGATTAATTAATAATTTTTTCCTTATTAATAATATCCCATAATTATTCAGTTAATTATTAAGTAATTACAACGGCATCCTTAATGTCCAAGTTTTTTATTCTTAAGGCAGGTTATAGTATTTTTTGATAGACTAGAGAGAGTAAAGTAATGCTGACATGAGCAGGTGAAAGCTTTAGTGCATCAGATGCAAATTAATATATTAAAGGAACAAAATCCATATCAATAGTTGTTGGTTATATGATTGCAGATAGAATAAGCTCTAATAAACATTGATTCAATGGATAAGAAATTTCTTCTATTTGAGAATCAAAATTTACTTGAGCTATATCTTTCTCATCAATAATAATCTATTTTAGTAGATTATTAAAATATTTTTTTTATTAATCTAATTAAGAATTCTAAATATTAAATGCTTATAATAATAAACATTAGACCCAATATTAATTTAAAGTTGAAAACATTAATAACTTTTTTAGAATTATGTAATGTTTTTCATTATTTTTAATTTCATTGTACAATTAAGGTGTTTTTATTACCATTAAAGCATCTTTGATTAATGTAATAAAAATAGAACTGGTAACAGATTATTCTATATTAGATTATATGGAATTTGAAAATAATTCCAATAATTTCATTGAAGCTAAATTAATTTTGAATTTATTTTTTGTATGAGTTATTAAAAGTGGCCAATCTTAATTTTAACATTTATATCTAAGCATCATTAATAATGTAAATTAAAAGAATTCTTGCTATTGGAATTCCTTTGCCAAATCCCTAATGATTAAATAAAATTATTATACATATTATAAGGGATTTCATTATTAAATATACCAACTTAATCTTTAATTATAATTGGTAAAGATTTTGTATTACTATTAGAAGCATATATTTTTCTGATTTCAATGAGTTTATCTTTGTGAGATTATAATAAATCAGTTTCATTAATTGATCCATTTTCATTTTATTTTGATTATCCTGTTCCAGATGTATTGAGTTTTTTACCACTTTGATTTATAGATTAGGCTTATAATTGATTTTTCATTCTTTCCAAAGTCTATTATTCTGGTTGGACTGTATCAAAAAATTGTATTTATAACATTAATTATTTGCCAATAATCTCAGCATGCCTTTTTTAATAATAATTAGTACTCTTTTTGTTGTATATAAAATTTTTTAAAGGAATCTATAATTTTAGCATTTTTTTTCTTTTCTGTGATAATTGCTGCTTCTATATTATTTTACATGGCAATTATAGCAGNAAGGTAATACTAAAAAAAATGATATCATTAAGGAATTAAAAAAAGGTATTAAAATAAATTTAGAATTGTTAAATTGTCTATTAAAAAAAATTCAATAAAATGTAGAGATAAAATAAAAAACCATCCTAAATAAAAAAAAAATAATACATTAATTATATGTAATGTTCTAAAATATAATAATATGTCAATTTTTGCATTCAGCTTTCCAAAATGAAACTTTCTTTTAATTTTAATAATGATCTTAAATCGAAGCCTTTATAATTAAAAAATTCTCCCTTAAGGACAAGAGCTCCTTAAGCTTAAAATATAGGTGTTTGGGATATACGGAGAAAAGTAATATTAGTGGTAACTAAATAGTATAAAATAATAAATACCTGTTAAAGGGTTGTTTTATTAAAAGGAGATCTTGCAATTTTCCAAAACTTCATTATATCTATTATCCTAAGATGAAATTTCTTATTCTGTCTTTAGATCCCAAAGGTGTATAAACTAATCAACACTACGTGATGCTAAAGTTTTTCCACCAGGAGAGAAACAGACTGAAATGACTGGTTCACCATGACCATCCAATTTGGCTATTTATTATCCTGTTTTGACATCCCATAGACGGATAGAGTTATCATTACTACCAGAAGCTAATTTATTTCCATCAGGAGAGAAACAGACTGAAATAACTGGTTCATCATGACCATCCAATTTGGCTTTTTATTATCCTGTTTTCAAATCCCAGAGACGGATAGAGTTATCACTATTACCAGAGGCTAATGTATTTCTATCAGGAGAGAAACAAACTGAAATAACTGGTTCTTCATGACCATCCAATTTGGTTTTTTAATATCCTGTTTTGACATCCCAAAGACGGATAGACTTATCTTCACTACCAGAAGCTAATGCATTTCCATCAGGAGAAAAACAGACTGAGTAAACAGCTTCATCATGACCAGCTAATTTGGCTTTTTATTATCCTGTTTTGACATCCCAAAGACGGATAGAGTTATCCCAACTACCAGATGCTAAAGTATTTCCATCAGGAGAGAAACAGACTAACTAGATAACTTATTCATGACCAGCTAATTTGGCTTTTTATTATCCTGTTTTGATATCCCAAAGATAGATAAACCTATCAGCACTACCAGAGGCTAATGTAGTACCATCAGAGGAGAAACAGACTGAGTAGACATTGCTAGTATGACGATCTAATTTAGCTTTTTATTTTCCTGTTTTAACATCCCAAAGATAGATAGACTTATCAGCACTACCAGAGGCTAATGTAGTACCATCAGGAGAAAAACAGACTGATTAGACATTGCTAGTATGACCATCTAATTTGGCTTTTTATTATCCTGTTTTAACATCCCAAAGATAGATAGACTTATCAGCACTACCAGAGGCTAATGTACTACCATCGGGAGAGAAACAGACTGAGTAGACATAGTGAGTATGACCATCCAATTTGGCTTTTTATTTCCCTGTTTTAACATCCCATAGACGGATAGACTTATCAGCACTACCTGAGGCTAATGCATTTCCATCAGGAGAGAAACAGACTGACCAGACAACTTATTAATGACCATCTAATTTGACTTTATATTATTCTGTTTAAACATCCCAAAAACGGATAGACTTATCCCAACTACCAGAAGCTAATGTATTTCGATCAGGAGAGAAACAAACTGATTAGACTAAACCAGTATGACCATCTAATTTGACTTTTTATATTCCTGTTTTGACATCCCATAGACGGACAGACAAATCACCACCACCTGATCCTAAAGTATTTCCATCAGAAGAGAAGCAGATTGATTAGACCCAACTAGTATGACCATCTAATTTGTCTATTTATTATCCTGTTTTAACATCCCATAGACGAATAGAGTTATCTGCACTACCAGAGGCTAATGTAGTACCATTAGGAGAGAAACAGACTGAGTAGACATTGCTAGTATGACCATCTAATTTGGCTTTGTATTATGCTGTTTTAACATCCCATAGATGGATAGAGTTATCTGTACTACCAGAGGCTAATGTATTTCCATCAGGAGAGAAACAGACTGAGTAGATAGTGTTAGTATTAACATCCAATTAGGCTTTTTATTTTCCTGTTTTAACATCCCATAGACGGATCGAGCCATCTGAACTACCTGAGGCTAATGCATTTCCATCAGGAGAGAAACAGACTGAGTTGACATAGTGAGTATGACCATCCAATCTGGCTTTTTATTATCCTGTTTTGACATCCCACAGACGGATAGAGTTATCTTCACTACCAGAGGCTAATGTATTTCCATAAGGAGAGAAACAGACTGAGTAGATAGTTTTCGTATGACCATCCAATCTGGCATTTTGTTTTCCTGTTTTGACATCCCACAGACGGATAGAGTTATCTCCACTACCAGATGCTAATGTATTTGCATCAGGAGAGAAACAGACTGACCAGACAGCCTTAGTATGACCATCTATTTAATATAAATCGTTTATTTTTAATTATTTCCAATTGCAATTAAACAATTACGCTCCACTTAAATTAATTCCATTGATATTTACATTGTCAAATTTAGAATTTGTTAAATTACATTTTGTAAAATTACCTCCAATTAAAGAAGTATTAGAAATTTTTATATTTTCAAAATTTAAGCTTGTTAGATCTACCTTCATTTCAACCAATATATTAAGTGCGTTAGATCCACTTATTATACATTTATTATCTATTTTCGTGAGATGAACTAAGAATTTCAAAAATTCTATTATTCTAACCTCTTGTGATATTTTTTAAATGAGATATTATCTTGTTTCAGCATAGGTTTCAGTGGAATAATTTACAACATTAATATCATGTTCTTTTATGGATCTGATCAAACTTATAATCGAATTAATAGTCTATTGAAAAGTACCAGATTATTTTAGTTTTTCCAAATGTGATATATTTTCAATTTAATTAAAGGTTTCTGTATATTTTTTATCTATATTTTCTAGAAACTTTAAGCAATCCTAATCTTAATTATTTTCTTTTGACAAAAAATCTATTATAGTATTTAATATCTATATATTAAAATCTTTTGATTAAACTAACACTTCATATAAATCAGCTGCAATTAAGAACTCTTATATTGATTTATGTGCAAATTAAAAGTTAGCACCTTTTTATTAGACAAGTGAACAACTTATTATATCTTTTTTATAAGCTCCGAATTTATCATCATAATTAAAAAATTCATTTAGCCCTTGTTCATCTTTACTTTCATTTTAATATAAAAATCCTTGCTACTTATATTAAACTTATGTCTTTTCATTCTTACTCATTGTTTTTGCCAATCTGATTGAGTATTTTAATAGATCATGCAGAAATCGATCAGTATCTATTGATTTTCCTAAGTTTCTCTGTTTTTCGATTTATTTCAAATGATAATAATTGATAAACTCACAATAAAAGTCATAAATTGTAAGATTGTATTCTTTTAATGAATCACAAACAACTTAGATTATTCCTTCCTATTACATTTTTCCTTTCTTTAATATCTAATTTTGTAGTAAAAAATCAGTTTCAAATATTTTTTAAACTTATATATAGATTCCTTCGAATTCTTAGGAAATTTACAATTATTAAGGAATTGAATTTTCTTCTAAATTATTCCAAACTTCAAAAGCAATTTAATGGTAATCAATAACTTCCAAGTCATAAATATCGTTCGGAGTAACATCCAAGAAGTCATCATAATCAACTTAAATTTCTGCTTAAGATTCTTTTTTAACTTCATTTATTAACCCTAATAGATGCTTTTTCTGTTGGGATTTATACATCTGAATCCTGTATTTACTTATGTAGAACTCTTTCAGCATCTTTGAAAAATTTTTCAAGAAGTTTTATTTAATGTTAATAATTTCAGTTGCTTTAAGAATCATGTTGGGCAACACTTACACTATAATTTCCATCATATATGGAGTTTCCACTAATTTAGTTAGACTTACCGACATCATCATATCTTCATACTTTTTAAAACTCCATAATTTTTTTAAATTTATGCTCAAACTTCTTATAGCTTCATTGCTTTTTAGAGCAATTAACTCATCATCTTTCAAAAATAATAAAATACTGTCTATTTATTTTTCATTCAAAAGAGTCTCGGATTCCAATCTTGCTCCATCGAATTTCAAAAATGATGACTTCAACTTTTCCCAATTCTGTTCAAACCTTTTTAGATCCAGAGCTTTTTGGTTTTAAGTTTATACTTACCATTCGTATACATCGAAAATCAGCATTTTAATACTCTAAATAGTGAATTTCATTAGATATTCTTATCTCTCACTCTATTCAAATTGAAGAAGCTTAATCTCTTTAAATTTCTTTTTATCTTCAGGTGCAAACCAGTCGGCATAATTGTTACTAGTAAAAATGTCACTTCTGGTTGTAAAAATAACAAGAGGGTCTGACCAATTCTATCTGAGTTTATTAGTAATGTATAAATTTTTCTAAATATTCTCTAGCTTCATTTCATCGTAACTGTCCATTATAAATATGAATCGAAATTCTTTCTTTTACAACATTTCTTTACATTCTTTTAATTAGAGATCATCAAATCCATAATCATCTGAATGAAGTGATTCCTCTACTGCCTAATACACAGGGTTTTTTAAAGAGGGTAATGAAAGATAAACAGGTATTAGTAAAAAATTTCCAATTTGTTTATTACTATCATGTAATTTCCAAATAAACTCTTCAATTTTCTTGGCTGTAGTACTTTTGCCTGAGCCAGCTAACCCATGAATCAATAATACCGTTTAGTTTTTATCTAATAAAAATTCATTTACTTCTCCAACTTTATCATCAAATTAATCAAAATTCATTAACCTACTGACTTCATTTTTATCTTTCTCTTGAGTTTTTAATGGTACATAGATGGACTTAACATTTTTTTCTGCTGCAACGTTCAACACTTTCCATTTTCTAATCTCAAGCAGTTGTATTACCGATTTTCCTCTCAAAAATTTAATGTCATTCCCCACATTATCGAGTTACTCTTTCATTTGATTTATTTTACCCTCAACTCTTTATAAACCTTTTCTGATATGATTTAAAAAATCAGTTATCAGTCTGAGTTATTAGCCCATTTCGCTGATATTGTGAATGTATTCATCTAATTATGATGTCGTTTCATCCATTTCTTTCAGTTGTATGTCACGTTTATTGAGATTAGCCTCACGAGAAATTGATTCTTACAATTCATCAATTCTCTTCAGCATTTTTTACATTTCTCCTGCAATTCTATCATGTTAAGTCTACCAATCTTTCTACAAAATTTACATCTGTAAACTTATTAAGTTTTAATTTTTCAATAAACCTCTAACTCTTTAATCTTTTTCTAAAACCCATAATTAAATAAGAGCTTTCTAACAAAATGAATAAATTGTATCTGTGAAACTATTTGATGAAATATAAATTATTGTCAAAATTAGACCCTATTTAATTTTCCACTCCTCATTATTTTTAAAATCCTTATACTTTTGATTCAAAGACTAAAATAACCCTAAATGTTGATTTGATTCTACATTATCTATTTCTTCTTCTTCTTCCTCATTTTCCTAAAGGTAGATTTTCTTAATTTATTTAATCAGATATTCTTAACCAAACTAAATTTTTGAGATCACGCACTTAGACAAGATTAGTTTTTACTTTATTTCCCCCTTTAAATTATTGAGAAAATCACAAATATTTGTTTTTTATTCTAAATGATTATCATCTTTTTCATTTTTAACTTACAAAATATCAATTTCTATTCTATTAAAGTAATCTTTAAAAGACTCTTTTTCAATTTATTATAAATTAGCTGTTGTCAATTACAATTACTCAAATAATTAAATTTGGTTTTAGAAATGATTATGAAATTAATTAAATGTATTTGTTTATATAGTTTTATTATATTTCTGAAGGAGATGAAGTTTATTAGAGAATTTTTTAGTTTCTTCAAGTAATTAGTAAAATAACTGCTTTTCTTTTTTTATTTTTGATGATGATAATTTCAGAATA